CGGCCTCCTCCCGGGTCAGATCCTGGCCATCTCCCCCGCCGGAAACGGGAGCGGCGGCGGAGGGACACCGAGCACCAGGACCGGCCGGGAGACGCGCCACGATAATCCGGGTCGGGACTCGGGTCCCAGGGTTCCAGGTCACAGTGGGGTACGCAGCGGCCTCCGGGCCTCAGAGAAGCAAGAATCCGGGCGGCGGAGCTCCCGATCGCGCTCGTCGTCCTATACCTCGGCAGCGAAAACACCAGATGCGCCGGGCGCTGACCTGCGGGGGAGTCCCGAGTCCTCCAAGTGCCCCCGGGGGTGGGGGAGCGGCCTCGGCCGCGCTCTCGGCTCGGGCAGCGCAACGCGGAAGTACCACCTTCGTCGCCGCTTCACTCCATCGCGCCCTGACGTTGGGTGCGAGTTCAGGGGAGGGGAGTGGGCGAGACAACAACACGCCTCCCCCGCCTCCTCTTCGGCGTCGACGTCGTCCTCCTGTGGTGGCGGCGACACACCGCAGGCGCCTCGGAAGTGGCCTGGGCCTGACAACAACTCCCAGCCTAGAGCCTCGCGCACTCTGCGGCCCGCGGGGTTGGGCAGCGGGGCGGGGCGAGGCGGGGGCGACCGGGCTGCGGCTCTCGGTTGGGGCAGCGGGTGTGCGGGGCTGGGCGGGGGGCTATTTCCGGGGAGATGGGGGCGGGGGCGTTTCTGAGTCTGTGGCGGTGAGTATGGGCCCTGACTTTCTTCTTCTTTCGCCGCCACAGCCGCGAGCAGAGGTGGCGGAGCTACCCCTTTCCTCCGCTCCCCCCCCTCCACGAGGAGGCTCCTGATGTGCGCGGCCGGCCCCGGCTCGCTCCTCCCCTTCCCTCTCCGCTCCTCGTCAGGAGGAGGGAGAGCCACGGGACTTGCTGGTTGGGCCCTAACCTCCGCAACCCCTCCTCCTCGCCTCGCTCTTTTCGGCTTTTTCCCCTCAGCCCTGACGTACGACCGGGAGCGCGCCCGGACGTCACGCTCAGAGAAAGCCGAAGATGAGAGGTGGCCGGGGCAAGAGAGGCGGGAACAAAGTTGCCGCGCACTGGCGTGCTCGCTCCCGCCAGGGGCCGGCGGGCCGCACCGGAAGTGACATGTGTAGAAACCGCTCGGCTTCCGGCGAGGGTGGGACTCGATGTGAAGAAGGGTTAAAGAAAGGAGAGGATTCATGCGCCGCCCACTGCTGTTGCTTGAGACTCTCCCCGTGGTGGCGCGCCCGTCGTGCCTGTTGCTTGCGTCCAGCGCGCAGAGCCGGTTCCGGCCCTCTGCAGATGCCGCACTGCCTGCCTGGTGAGCGAAAGGTCACAGTGAGAACAAGTGTCTGTGGAGACTGCGAGGGAAATAATGCTGTTGGTCAGGCCTTCTGGGCTAGGCAGTCACCCCGTAGTCTACCTTCAGTCAAGCCCTGGGAGTGGAACAACTGCGAAAGGAGAGAAGACACCCCGCGAAACAGGGCGGAGATGGCCTTGGTTTAACTTGTCTAACGGACACCAAAGTTCGAGGCCCCATCTCTCTCTTTTTTTTTTTTTTTCTTTTTTTTGGAGACTTGAGTTTCGCTCTCGTTGCCCAGGCTGGAGTGCAATGATGCGATCTCGGCTCACCGCAACCTCCGTGAGGCACTTTCTTATCCTAAAAAACAGACTTGGGAATCACAGCTCAAGCTTCGGTAACACTATTTACTTTAAAATAAAAAATTTTAAAGCTTTAAATCAATGCAGGGAATAAGTGAAATGTTAAAAGGAACTACTGAAAATTCCATAACTTCTCAGGAGCCTTGAAACCAAAACATCTTGTGCGAATGAGGAGTGCCCTCTTAGTACTTCACCCCCTTTCACCTTAATATCTACACCTCTGGGGTTGCCAAACATAGCCATATAGTGACCTCACATCCCATTTCTTGCCTTAGAATTGCCCTTCAGTTACAGACTGAGCACTTGGGATGGTTAGATTAAAATCTAAATGGCTTATTGACTTTTGGAATGGTTGGAAACGCAAGCTAAGGCGGCGCGGTGGCACACGCCTGTCGTCCCAGCTACTCCAGAGGCTGAGGCAGGAGGATCTCTGGAACTCAAGAGTTCGAGGCTGGAGTGAGCTATGACCGTGCCACAGCACCCCATACTGGGCAATCGGCAGGGCGAGGCCCTGCCTCTAATAAAAAGCCGTCTGTTTAATGACTACCTGTAGTCACCCCTTTGAAAATTTATTTGTTCAGATCATCAGTTGGTTTAGTTCTTAAACACTTGGTATCTATCCATCATTCATACCTTTGTGTAAATTATTTTAATCAGCTTGACATCACAGTATCACAGACTGGACTGATTTAAGCTAAGATCAGACTTCACTGACCGAGTACAAACGATGTTGGTTTGCTGAAGGGTAAAGGAGGAGGCAAAGGAATAGGTAATCTTAAAGTCAGAGCATGTCCCAGGAGGGCCGGCCTGGGTGGGTCACACCATGGGACGGGCATTGAGAAACTGAATAGAAAAATAGGGGCAGAGTTTCTAAAACAAATTTCTCGTTGACAGTATTGTTGAGTGAAGGTCCTGTAGCCAGCCTCCTACCAAAGACTGTTTAGCAAGTGGCTTTTTCAGAAACATGTAGGATCAACTTGTTCCATCATCCTACGTTAAATAGACTGGAATAACAGAACAAAGAGAGCAAATAAGAGGTTTAGCTTGCAGCTCCCCACATGTACAAACAGTTCCACTTGAGAATGTCATCTTCTATCATATACTTTCAAACAAAACTTGATCCATAGTAAATGGATAATTCCCATGGGTAAGTGTATTAAATGGAGAAGAAGAAAAAGGAAAAGTAAATGGATAGTTCCCAATTCAGGCTGCAAACAAAAAACATGTACTAAAATATTTTTACTGTGGTTCTACCACCCACATGTTTCCTCAAAGATTCTACCTTTGGTGGGGGAGGTTGAATGAACATTTTGAGCTCTCCAAAGATACCCGCCCACGTGGTTGGAAACACTAATAACTAAAAGGATTCAAACTCCAAAAAATGAGAACGACCTTTGAATTAGAAGTCGTCTGTGTCTATAAGCCTGTCTGCTTGCCTGAATATTCAAGAGATTTGAAATTGCCATTTGAGAGTATATTTTTGTTTATTACTGCTTGTGTGGGGGGGGAGGGGTTGGGTGTTTTGTTTTTGTTTTTGTTTTTTTTTTGAGACAGAGTTTCACTCTTGTCGCCTAGGCTGGAGTGCAGTGGTGCAATCCTGGCTCACTGCAACCTCCACCCCCAAGGTTCAAGCGATTCTCCTGCCTCAGCCTGCGGAGTAGCTGGGATTACAGTGGCCCGCCACGATGCCGGGCTAATTTTTTGTATTTTTAGTAGAAACGGGGTTTCGTCATGTTGGGCAGGCTGGTCTCAATCGCCTGACCTCAGGTGATCCACCGGCCTTGGCCTCCCAAAGTGTTGGGATGACAGACGTGAGTCACTGCGCCTGGCCCCGGACTCATCATTTATGCAGTTCACAGGCCCACAGTGTTGGCACTTTTTTCAGAAGTGCAATATTGCTTCTATGTGTTGGGGAGTGGGAATTCTTGCTGGTTCAGTAAAGCTGAAGGATACGTATTTATAAAATGGTAATGGTGGAGTAAACTTCAAGCTGTCTTCCTACATGGATTTTCCCTTGATTACATAAGTAACAGTATCCTGGGTTTGATGGGGGTAAATGTGCCTAACTAAAAACTACATCTTCCAGTATTCCTTACAGATGAGACGTGATCATTGGCTCCTGCCGATGAAGGGAAGTAGAAGTTGTTGGACGAAGCTTCTGGAAATGATTCTTAGAAAATGGAAGATCAGGGCCGGGCTGGGGCAGGGGAATCGCTTGGGACTAAAAGCGCACGCCACCATGCCTGGGTCTCAAAGTGTGTGCCACCATGCCTGGCTAATTTTTGTATTTTCAGTAGAGACGGGGTTTCACCATATTGGCCAGGCTGCTCCCGAACTCCTGGCCTCAAGTGATGTGCCCTCCTCCGCCTCCCAAAGTGCTGGGATTACAGGCATGAGCCACCGTGCCTGGCCTGGAATAAATTGTTGTTGTTGTTATTGTTGCTCTGTTGCCCAGGCTGCAGTGCAGTGGCGTGATCTTGGCTCACTGCAACCTCCACCTCCCGGGTTCAAGCAATTCTCCTGCCTGAGCCTCCCAAGTAGCTGGGATTACAGATGTGCGCCATCACGCCTGGCTCGTTTTTGTATTTTTAGTAGAGACGGGATTTCACCCTGTTGGTCAGGCTGGTCTTGAATTCCTGACCTCAAGTGATCTGGCTGCCTCAGCCTCCCAAAGTGCTAGGATTGTAGGTGTGAGTCACCGCACCCGGCCAAATGTTTTTTATTCTTTAATTTTACAAAAATGTTTAGGTACTCTTAGGAGATAAATATTCGTGAATATTTGGAAGTTCAACTAGACAACAAAAGTATTTCAAGTTACTGATTACATCAACAAATTTGAGAGAAACAAGCGTGAACAATTCATCTATACTTTGTTAAAATTTCTCTTGAGTCATTAACATCTTAAAATATAATACTGATGATGACATAGGTTACAGGAAATCATTTCTACCAGAACTGTTTTTTTTTTTTTTTTGGAGACAAAGTCTCGCTCTTGTCTCCCAGGCTGGAATGCGATGGTGTGATCTCAGCTCACTGCAACCTCTGCCTCCCAGCTTCAAGCGATTCTCCTGCCTCAGCCCCCCAAGTAGCTGGGATTACAGGCTCCTGCCACCACGCCCAGCTAGTTTTGGTATTTTTAGTAGAGACAGGGTTTCACCATGTTGACCAGGCTGGTCTCGAACTCCTGACCTCAGATGATCCACCCGCCTTAGCCTCTAAAGTGCTGGGATTATAGGTGTGAGCCACTGCTCCCGACCCATTTCTACCAGAACTTTTTAACTGGCAATGTTAATCTTATTTTGTGTACAGAACATTACAAAAAAAGTATAAAAATCAGCATTTAAGAATTGATTCACTCTTACATTTATGGACTGTTGATTTTCAACAAGGTGGCAAGACAATTCAATGGGGAAGAATAGACTTTTCAACAAATAATACCAGGACAACTGGGTATCCACATGCAAAAGAAAAAAGCTGGATGCCAACCTCATACCATATTAAAAAAAAAAAATCAAAATGAGCCAAAAGCACATGTGACAAAAGGAAAAATAGATAAACTGGATTTCATCCAAATTACAATTCAAGACAGGCAGATTGAGCCCAGGAATTGGAGACCAAACTGGATAACATGGCCAAAACCCATCTCTACTAAAAATACAAAATTTAGCCAGGTGTGGTGGCACACACCTGTAATCCCAGCTACTCTGGAGAGTGAGGCAGGAGAATCACTTGAATCGAGGAGGCAGAGGTTGCAGTGAGCCAAGATCCCACCTCTGTACTCCAGCCTGGGCGACAGAGTGAGACACGTTCTCAAAAACAACAACAACAAAGAAAAACCGATCCTATATTTCACATTTGCCAAGAGGATAGATCTTAAGTGTTATCAGAAAAAGAAAAAAAAGTTCAGCTGGGCACAATGGCTAATGCCTTTAATCCCAGCACTTTGGGGGGCTGAGACGGGCGATCACCTGAGGTCAGAAGTTCAAGACCAGCCTGGTGAAACCCCGTCTCTACTACTAATACAAAAATTAGCCAGATGTGGCGGCACACACCTGTAATCCCAGCTACTTGGGAGGCTGAGGAACGAGAATCACTGGAACTCGGAAGGCAGAGGTTGCAGTGAGCAGAGATCGCACCACTGTACTCCAGCCTAGGTGACAGAGCGAGACTCTGTCAAAAAAAAAAAAAAAATTTTTGAAGGACCTAAACAGACATTTTTCCAAAGAAGCTATACAAGTGACCAAAAAGCACATGAAAAGATGTCCAATGTCATTATCCACTAGGGAAATTCGAATCAAAACCACAGGAGATACCATTTCAAACACCAGAACCAGCCTGGGCAACATGGTGAAACCTCGGCTCTAGAAAAATAAAAAAATTAGCTGGGTGTGGTGGTGCACACCTGTAGTCCCAGCTACTTGAGAGACTGAGGCATGAGAATCGCTTGAACCTGGGAGGCGGAGGTTGCAGTGAGCCGAGATCGTGCCACTGTACTCCAGCTTGGGTGACAGAGCGAAACCCTGTCTCAAATATAGATAAATAAAACAAAATTAAAAACACCAGTATGACTATAATCAATAGACAAGTTTTGTTGAGGATGTGGAGAAATTGGAGCTTTCATACATTGCTGGTGGAAGTGTAAAAATGATGCAGCCACTTTTTAAAAATGTAAATGTTTATTTATTATTGCTTAATATTCAACTTTTGTTGATTAAATATTATGAGAAAATCTTCTCTCAAAATGTCTTTTGTGCTTTTTGCTTTGTTTATTTATTTATTTTGAGACAGAGTCAGTCTCTATCACCCAGAATGGAGTGCAGTGGGGCAATCTGGACTCACTGCAACCTCTGCTTCCCAGGTTCAAGCAATTCTCCCGCCTCAGCCTCCTGAATAGGGAGGATCACAGGCGTTCCACCACACCCAGCTAATTTTTGTATTTTTGGTAGGGATGGCGTTTCACCATGTTGGCCAGGCTGGTCTCAAACTCTTGACCTCAAGTGATCCATCCACCTCGGCCTCCCAAAGTGCTGGGATTACAGGTGTGAGCCACCACGCCAAGCTGGGTGTTGCCCCTTTGGAAAACAATTTGGCAGTTCCTCTAAATGCTAAACATATAATTACCGTATGACCCAGCAATCTCACTGCTAGGCATATTAGCCAAAAGATATGAAAACGTATGCTCTCACAACATGTCATGATAGGTAAAAAATGGAAACAACCCAAATGTTCATCAACTGATGAACAGATAAAGCAAAATGTGGCATAGCCATACAATGGAATATTATTCAGCAGTAAAAAGGAATGCTTTTCTAATACAGGCTACAACATGGATGAACCTTGAAGCCATTAGCTAAGTGAAAGAAGCCTTAGTTTCTCTCTCATAATCATCACCTGAAGTACAAAATAGATGATATTATTATCATTTAACAGATAAGAAAAGTAAAGATCAAAGAGATTGAGTAGCCTATAGCCACATAAACAATAATGTGAAGCAAATTTTAACCTCAAAACATATTCTAAACACAAAGAAAACTTTTTTTTTTAAGTGTCTGATACAGTTTTGCTGTGTCCCCATTCAAATCTCAACTTGAATTCTATCTCCCAGAATTCCCACGTTGTGGGAGGTACCCAGGGCGTGATAATTGAATCATGGGGGCCAGTCTTTCCCATGCTATTCTCTTGATAGTGAATAAGTTTCACAAAATCTAATGAGTTTATTAGGGATAATAAGAAATGCCTCTTCTTCATTTTCTCTTGCCACCACCATGTAAGAAGTGTCTTTTGCCCCGAGTCATGTGGAACTGTAAGTCCAATTAAACCTCTTTTTCTTCCCAGTCTCGGGCATGCCTTTATCAGCAGCATGAAAACGGACTAATACAGTGTCAAAGTCTTGATCTATAGCTCTTTTCCTTTGTGGTGTCCTCAGTAACCACACAGATGCTTTTCATCTTTCCTTTTCCCTCTCTTTGTTCCTGGCCTTCGTCTTATTGTCCTGGGCATAGCTAAAAATTACTGGTGGAATTCAAGGGATTTAAAAATTAAAATCTTAGGTCAGGCACAGTGGCTCACACCTGTAATATCAGCACTTTGGGAGGTCAATCCCAGCACTTTGGGAGACCAAAGTGGGTGAATCACTTGAGCCCGGGAGTTCAAGACCAGCCTGGGCAACATGGCAAACCCCTATCTCTACCAAAAAAAAAAAAATACAAAAATTACCTGGGCATGTTGGCTCACACCTGTATTCCCAGCTACTCAGGAGGCTGAAGTGAGAGATCACCTGAAGCCCAGGAGGCAGAGGTTGCAGTGGACTGAGATTGCGCCACTGCATGCCAGCCTGGGTGACAGAGTGAGATCCTGTCTCAAAATAAAATTTAAAAAAAAAAATCTTAAAAATTAACTCAATCCCCTGACACTCACTTTTTATGATGTAAACTGAGATTTACACAAATCTATGTCTTGTCCAAG